TGTAATACCTAGTCGGGTTAGGTTCATTTTGGACCTAGACCAAACATAACTTGGGTCAAGTCAAGGTCAAGTGAATCCAAACCCGACCTATCGAGTTCATTGTCTAGGTCTAGGACAAGGTCGAGTTGAACCATCCAATCCACGGGCCGACTTTACCCATCTTTCTTGAACCTATGTAAAATCCCTTATGGGGCTATTACGGCGTTACAATAACAACTTATCTTCTCAAAGTATGGGATTGTCTGCAAACATACCATTTATTTTTTGTACAAGAATGTCACAATCATTCTTATTCTTTAATTTTTCTCATGTCCATGCATTTTGATGTCGAGATAATCGATTTGCGGAGATTTGGGCATCAAAATAATCTCTTGTAGTGAAAGTTTTGAGTTAGACTATAATTTGATTGTTTAGAGTCTCGGCTTATATAAACTTTTCCCCAGTCCAAACAAGTTGTTACGGAGTAGTTTTAAATCTTAATTGTATTTTATTTTTTCATATCCACATGGGTTTTTTAACATTTTTTAGAAAACTTTTTATGTATGCCTTATTATATTTTTGTAATATAAAATTATAGTATAAGGTTTATGCTTTCTATAAACATTATCCAAAAACCAGAAGGCTTGATACGTAAGTACAAGTATGGATACAAATAACAGCGCCATTGTAATTGTAACAGCCCCTCAAAAAAATTCACATAAAATAACATAATTGTAGGGTATATCCTTGAAATCTCCAAAGCTGTATGCTTAGCATGAATCTCAGTAAAGTCGAAATGGAGTACGCAAAAATACTGAAAAAACAGAAAGTGTTCAATTGAACCATTCAATTTGCAGAATCAAAAAGTAACAATACCCCAAGCCATCCAAGTTAAATCGAATGACTATGTGCAATGGCTAAGGATCAAAAGTTTCGGACTGAATGAAAATTTGACGCCATCGGTTTGTAAGTCTGGCAGCCTAAGCTGTTCCAACATTTTTGTGCCAAAAGTAAATGGTCTCATTGTACATGACCCCTTAGAAAAAATAAGTGGATAAGTCTCCCAAGTGATTATATGAATCTGCTAGAGCGTGTCCAACTACCTTGCTCTCACCATTCTTTTATGAATGTATATTCATGATATTTCTTGTTTAGGCAACACACACGCTAGTGCCCGCACACACAATCACCTACAAGAAACCATTAGAGAGAGAACAGAACACCAGCAATTGGGTGAAAAGCAACAGCTAAACAGAGGATGACATTAAGAGGGGATTTTCCACTCAAATTGCGAAGAAAAAACAAAATCCCGTAGCATAAACAGCAGAAAACTCATGCTGTGAATGTTAATAAAACACGGTAATAATTTACACAAGGAAAAAAATGGAGGAAAAAACAGAAACTAACCCTCAGCTACTTCGAGCAAAACGCTGCAAGGCTAGGGGCAGCTGCATCTCACTAACCTTCTGTTTCTTTCTCTTCTCTTCTTCCTTCACCCTCTCCTCGATAAATGGCCTCTTGGCCTTGATAACCGTCTCCTTTTTCTTCTTCTCTATCTTACTAGGCTTACTTCTCCCCTTAGTCTTCTTCTTCCTCTTCTCACCCTTGGCAGCTGCAAGAGCAGCGTCCATCTCAGCCTCTCTCCCCTCTTTGCTTTTCCCTTCCTCTGCCCTACTCCCTGATTTCAACCCCCCTATCTTTGTTTGGTCCATCATAATCATCTCGGGCTGCAACTTATCAAGCAAAGCATGAACCTCTTTCTCTCTCCTTTGCTTGGAAGTCTCAAATGGGTTCGCAACAAAAGTATCGAAGTTGGGCTCACCAGAACCAGGAACAAGAATTGATGAAATACCCGTTGAGTGCCCAAACCCTAACACATCTTCATAAGGCCTAAACCTAACCTCCCCAACTTGATACCCCTTCAACATACGGTGGCTCATATAAAGTTGATAATCCGAATTGCCTGAATCATCCCTCCATATTTTTATTAATGAACCGCTTGCCATGGCCAACAAGCCTCTCTGACTAAAATCCAGGGTTTTGGCGTGGCCTTTGAAAGTATGCACAGCCTCAAATTTTCGTAGATCCCAAAGCTTGATCTTGTGGTCCATGCCTGCTGTGGCCATGAGATGGCCATTGTTGTGAAAGGCTAGGGCTGCGATGGGACCATGATGGCATAGCATTTTGACGAGAGGGTTGGCACTCGTGGGCTTCCACAGTGTGACTTTACCTGAATTGTGACCTAGGGCTATAACTGAGTTGAAGGGGTTTGCATTCATCACATCGCATCGACCTAAGCCTGTTCGATGATGGCCAACAATCTCACCAGTGGTGGTGTCTTGGTATAGAAGCTGGCCATATTTGTTTATCGACACCAAGAGGAAGTAGTTTTGCAAGAATTGAAGACTTAGGGGAAACAGGTTTTCCTGAATTTCAAAAGCAGAGGTTCTGATTAGATATTGTCAACAAATTACACAAACATTATGATTGCATCATTCAGATAAAGAGGAATAGCGAAAAGTCAACAAAATTTTATTCTCTCACCATGTCTTTTCCCTAAAATTCATCATCATCATCATCAAAATTTTATTTTCACCAATGTCTTTTCCCCAAACATTAAAAAGACAAAAACAAAAATGACCATGGGAGGCTAACCTTGAGGCAGTGAATTTCTGTTCCAACTTTGTTGTAAATATATGAATACCTGCAAGATGGTCAAGATTGTCATCATTGTTTAAAAACAAAAGACAGTTTATATCAAGGAAAGTATAATAAGAGACCATTTACTATTGGTACAAGGATGTCACAAACATTCTTGCGCCAGTTCAAATTGGGTGGTTACAAGACTATCATTTCCTAGACTCAAAATTCAAGAAAAATTTCTCGAACTTCATAACAGATGTCCCTAGCCATCCACTTTGACATCTAATGACTACAAATAATTGTAAGCACCTTGTAACAAAGATAAATGGTCTCATAGTATACATTCCTTTATATTGATGGATAAAAAAGAAATTCCACATGTACAATGTACTGTTAACAACTACTTGTGCAGAACATGCAGCAGCTACTAAAATCTTCGTCAGATCTTTCTGATCAAGTTGCTGAAGGGGGGGGCAGTGGGGTTAGAAACAATCAGTATGGGTTTCAAATTCCTTACAGAAAAAAAAAAGAAAGAAAGAAAGAACTAGAACAACCTTTTGAGCATCTTATGGAACCCAGCCGTCAATTAAGAGGCTGATGCAACTTGAGAAGAAAATGAGGGAATTTAATTTCTGTGCAACTACTAATTTTGAAGATTCAAAATCGCTATCAACTAAAGTTTTTTTAGAGAAAGAAAGTTAAGAGATGAAAAAGTAGACCTTAAGAATAAAACTCTAGGGTTAGCAATGGGTTGGGCCAGCCTTGGCCCTATACCATCCCTAGTCCCTATAAGGCCAGCCCGAGCCTGTCCTGGACCCAACCAGACCAAAAAGGCCTTGGCCCAGCCCGGCCCTGTTCGTGCCCCACCGGGTGGGGCCAAACACAATTCAACCAAATAAATGAACAAAAAGTAAGAAAAAACAGTCCAGACTGGCCATAGGGCCATATCTTGTGGCCTAGGCCCAAGTCTTTTAGGGCGAGGCCAGGCCAGGCCAGGCTGCCAGGCCCACTGCCAGGCCTAAACAGAGTTAATGCCAAAAGAAAACCTTAAAAGATGAAAGCTCCAAAGCTCACATGCATTTTAGACAAATATATGAAAGCCCCAAAGCTCTCTATATGCTCTCAAAGCGTCATACTCACTAGATCCCCAAGTGCTTTAGACATAATTAGTTCTTGAACAAAAAGTTTAGTTGAATAAGGAGTGTCAGTCGCCCAACCCTGGGGGGGTCGGGGAAGGGGGGAAGCTTTTTTTTCCTACCAGGCTTCTCTCATATATATTTTTTTTCTTCTAATTGTTTTTCTCATATCTTTGGCACCAAAGTCTTAACAGATTATGGCAGGAATATATTTTTTGCATTTTTCCCAAAATCTCAATGCCCCAACTTCATTCATCGTCATCATCATCATCGAAGCCCTAACCGAATTATTCAAGGTCGGCTACATGAATTTTGTTCCTTCATTCTTTTTACGTTCACGATTCATGATAAGATGTGGCAAAGTTTTACGCTGGCTGCTTACCTAACACAACCAATCTCCTTTACCTGGGCTTGGGATGGGTTAAGGGAAATTTAAGGTCCTCAGTTAGACCAACCTATGAGAATTCTTCACAAATGTGCATAGGTTCTAAAAGTCACACTACATGTACTAAATGCTAATTCAAAATTAATTTCATGCATACCACAGATATGAACAGCTAACACAAGTAATATCCCAAGAGTTGCAACACTTCTATGATTTCTGTGAATGATTTCCTTTTCCATTTCTTAATTGTTAAGCATGTTATATACATGTGTGTGCATGTGTGCGTGTATGCATGGTAAGCATCGTGCTATGGAATGCAAGATTAAGATATTGAAAATAGAAGGCTAGGTAAGTTTGTTAACCAGCAAATTGCAATTGCCTTTCTTTGCTAAGGTAATATCTTTGAACTGAATATGGTCATTGATGAAGTCCTCTATAGTTTTGTTGAAATTGCAGGTAGTAGAGTCGTGATTACGTTTCCAATAAACCCCGAAAATAGACAACATCACAAAAGGCACATAGAAAACTATCAAGATAAGGCGATCACAGACCTGTGGACCTCTACCCTATCTAGGTGAAACATAATTGGGCAGGGTAAGGAACTCAGCAGAGGCTAAAGATGGCAGAGGCATTATCCCTCGTGTGGACTTTTTGCCTACAGTACATCTCAAAAGAATCAATGACAACTCTCTTTCATCTTATCTAAATCAGAAATCATCTTCTCATTAAACTTAAACTTTCTGTCAAGTTCGACTTACAGAGGCATTATCCCTCGTGTAGACTTTTTGCCTACAGTATATCTCAAAAGAACCAATGACAACTCTCTTCCGTCTTCCCTAAATCAGAAATCATCTTCTCATTAAACTTTAAACTTTCTGTCAAGTTTCGACTTTTTGTAACACTAACCACCCTATGGAAGAATCCCACACCTCTAAACCTGACTTATATAGACTTTTGCCCACAATACATCTCCATAATCAAAATATTCTGAAATGTAAATCAGAAATCAAATCTAAAATAACACTCAACAGTTGAATTGGACTAATCTGGAGCAAAGGATGTCTCTAATGACACATTCAACAGAGCAAGTCACTTGACTTGGCAGGGTACGACGTCCACGTGCAAAGCCTTGCATACAGTCCAAGTCTTACCTATTCACAAGGTTATTTGTTATATTTTTTAAGACTCAGCCAAATCTGAAACGCTGACTCGGACTCAGCCCCTGCCAGGTTCAGGGGCCAAGTCCAAGTTTCAAAACACTGCCATGGACTGAGATACTCTACTCAATTATAGGGTTGTGGAAGAGTTAATTCACTAAATCAAGTGATTATCAAACTGTATAATAAACCCCTAGTTACCAAAATCACAACAAAGTTATTAAAGACTGTAGAGGATTAGATGGATATTATGCTCATTCGCAAATCATTATTGGAGTTACCTAGAAATTTGAGCACTTATCACTTGATTTCCTTACTTTTCATCAAGTGCTTCGAGCTGGCCACGGGCTTTAGGGTCAATATGGCCAAATTGAAAATGATTGGCATTGGCATGGAGCTGCAGGCCACCCAGGACCTTCCCGATAGGTGGGGCTACACAGTGGACACCCTCCCATCCACCTGCTTGGGCCTCCGCCTGGGCCACGGCAAGCATAAACACAGGCAATGGAGGTATATCATTGACAAATTTGACCGAAAATTGGCCACCTGGAAAGGGAGATTCCTATTCCCAGCAGGTAAGAGTAACTCTCATCAAGGCCACTCTTTCCAACATCCCCATTTTCCAAATGTACTTCTTCCATATGCCTGCGGTTGTTGCCACATGCCTGGAACAACTCATGCGCAACTTTCTGAGGTCCAAAGATGGTGAATGGCGAATCCAAGAAGTATCACCTTATCACTTAGACCACCGTTTGCAAGCCTAAATCCCAAGGTGGCCTGAGCATTCGCACTCTCAAACAGAACAACTTGGCCTTATTGGGCAAATGGTGGTGGCGTTTGGCCACCCAGGAGGGCCACCTGTGGAAAATTGTACTTTGCCATAATATTGCCTACACCATCCTCCCTGGTTACCCCACAACACAGCCTACAATTCATGCTCATGAGCCTATCTTGCATTGCTTACACCCCTTCAGAGCCAACATTCACTTCCATGCAAGGTTGGGCAACAAAATTAACGTCTGGTTCGATCTTTTGGATTGGCCACAGTCCCCTGAAGATTGCTTTGCCAACCTCTTCTGCCTAGCCAGAGACAGCAACACCTCAGTTGCGGATTTATTCCGAGTGGCAGGCACTACACACTCCTGGACTCCAAATTTCAGAAGACACCTCCATGACAGAGAGGTTGAAGCCTTCCTTGAACTCTCAGCCCTTCTCCACTCCGTCTATCTGTCTCCCCATGGTGAGGATAAAGTTATTTGGTCCTTAACTGCAGATGGCACACTCTCAGTTTCTTCCTTCTACCGCAAACTCCATTCCATCCCAACCTCCACCTCATCTCCTTCCATTGTCACCAAAGCCTGGCTCTCCTTCATCCCTGCCAAAATCCAAGTCTTCAATTGGATTGCCCTTTCCAGGAGGGTCTTGACAGTAGACCGATTGCAAAGGAGGGCCCTGATTATTCCTAACCGCTGCATGATGTGTGCGGTTGATGAGGAAACAAATTTACACCTCTTCATCCACTGCAGCTTAGCCAGCACATTTTGTAAGGACCTATTCTTACTGTTTAACTGGTCTTGGGTCACCTCCAGATCAGTACCCCAATTCGTCGAATACACGAAGTTTCTCCCATGAGCCAAATCAGGCATTTTGCTATCGAAGGCATTAGTAGTGGCTACCTTATGAGCCATTTGGATTGAGTGCAACAACCGCATTTTCCAAGGTCGCATCTCTCGAGTCCATGTCCTCAGGGACAACATCAAATCCACAGTTATCTTTTGGGCCTTGATCCACAGCTGCTTCAAGCACCTCTCAGCCTCAGACCTCCATCTTAACTGACAATCACTTCACTTTCTCGAGCCTAATGCCATCCATCGAGCGCTCTTTGGCGACCTCCAGAATTGAACAAAACCAAACTTAATTTCAACGATAGCTTGCTTGGCAACCCAGAACTGGCTGGCATCAGGGGATTGGGGGCATCTTCAGTAACTACCATGGCCTCTCCCTTTTATCCTTCACGAAACCTATTGGTCAAGCTAAGTCCACCACGGCAGAAGCTCTCGCGCTATTGGAAGGTGTCAAACACTTCAATCCTCACTGGAGCACAGAACTGGTTGTGGTAGGAGACTCTATAAATGCCATCCTCTCAGCCTTGGGGGAGGCCACACACCCTGGAGACTCACTCATGTGTTTGTGAGATTTTTCACATTTGCAGGCATATTCCCATTTCATGAACTCATACTTGGCGGGAGGCGAACCACACGGCAGACGCTCTCACTACAGGAGCAGCAGCTATGGCAGGAGTCTAGAGACCTCCACTTTGTTGGGTATCTGGCCTTTTAGCTTTGATTTTTCTTGGATGTACACAATTTTTTGCCCTCTTGGTGATATTTTTATAGAGCTCCTGAGTTGTGCGCCGCCTAGTTTTTTATGACGAGAATGGTGTGTAGATCTTTACTTTATAGAATAGTAAACAGGTAGAAAAGAAAAACCATGCAAAGTTGTGTGCATAATCCATCTAGTAAGTTTTCCATATCATGGAATAACCTACCGTACAAAGTCTCAGTATTTCTACTGCCATTTCTCTTCCCAAAAATTCAGTATAAATTTATAGCAACAAGAGAGCAGATTGAAAACAAAAACAAATCTTTACTAGTACGCATCAGCAACCTTTGACAGTTCTTGAGAATAAGAAGTCATATACATTTCCAAGATGAGAACAAACATCAGAACAGAGCTTGCCAAGAATAACTGTAATTCTTTATATAATACAGATGCATAACCAGCTAGAGACATGCTTCTCTGCTTCTCTCTGAAAAGCAGATGAATTGCACTCTTCAAAAGGCTAATGTAAAATATGAATCATGTATGGAAGGTGAAATTCTTTACTTTTTTTGAGCTGCAGCAAAAAATTGATCATTGTGCAAAAACTTCACATCACGGATGGTCTCTCTGACCTGAAACAATGAGTTCATCATAAAACATTTATCTAGAAAAGAAAACTACCAATCCACATAACCAGATTCTCCAAAGCACTTTTGTGAAAACATATGTAAATTGAATACCTATTGGTACAAATTTTTTTTAATAACAAGTTAATGGTTGGAATGGAGGGTTGGACATTATGTTGAGGCATTGGCCCCCTAACCACCGATGTCCCAACCCCATTCTTCATACCTATTGATACACATTTATCAAAAAGAAAAAAAAGGAAAAAGAGAAAAACGAAGACAACTGTTATTGATACATGGAGTTTGAATCAACGTTATGAGGATGAAACATGCTGTAAAGGGGTCTAGTCTGAGCAAACAGGTCCTAGCAGCAGCTAGAAAATTGCAGAACATCAAAAACAACATAATATTAAAAAATAACGATAAAACAAATTGAAATAAATATAGTTTAAAAATATTCAAACTATAAAGGTATTGATTATAAGGGATTCATGCACATTGTGAATTGGAATGTTAGAAGGTTGAGGCCCCTAAGAGGAACATGGTTCTGAGAAAATAGAACAGAGGATACAAGGCGCACATAATGTTGATAAAAACACACAAGTAGCGGAATTGAACTCGCCATCTTATTGGAGTTATTATGAAAGATTGTGAGTGCCTCATTTTGGATGGAACAGGTTGAGGGAAGGATTGCTAGTTGTCTAACCCTAAGTTGTGACCAGCCAAAAATTCTGATGTAGAAAAAAATTCTATTTCAATTAAACCAAAGTTCTATAAGGAGATATTAGACAGGATGATGACCTATGTTATGTCGATTTAAGAAGAACGATGCTTTTCATGAAGAAAGGATATCAAGATGACACAAAATGGTCCTTTATTGAGTGTTTCTGTGCATGAGTTCTAGAGCGACAATTGACACTTCAGAAAACCTACCTTCATTGATGTGTGATGCAATTGACAATGGCTATAAACAAAAGAACCATAACAAAGAATCCAATGAACAGTACCAAATGTGCAACAAACAAGAGAGCACAAATGTCCAAGGTTCTCAATTATAAATTAAGTAGGAATTCCAAGACCTGCATGGCTGTGTTCATAAGAATCTCCACAATGCAAATATGAAAGGATCCATACAACTAAGAAATGCACACAAACCTGAAACTCTTTGATTAGGTTCATACTCATCACATCCATCATTGCTAGATGACCTCTTCGCCCTCCAACCAACATATAGTGGCCATTAGAGGTATAGTCCAACACATACGGACCAAGATCTGCATTGTTCACATCATCAAATTGAAATTCATCAAGTTAATACCATACTGAGAAATAATTTTTCTGAAAATAGCTTTTTTTAAACAGGTTATAAAGAAACAAAACTCACCTGGTAGGACTATATCAAATGCCTTTCTTGAACTTAAAATGTCTACTTCATGCACAATATTTTCTTGTTTGATCCTCCATGATTTTTCCAAACCTTCAGTTTCTAGGTAACCTCCTTCACTGGGCAACAACCACTGCAAATCATTAACCTTTCCATGTAAGTACCTGAATCAAGATGTTCACAAGTTTCATAGAAAATCCTCATCAACTTGTGGAGTTCAAAACCAAAGAACAGATGAGATCAAGATTAAAAAGCCAAGATCAAAGATATGCTAATGAGTATTATTTAGTCTCTAAAACGAGAATTAGCACAAAAGCATCAGATGCTGTTAAAGGAAAAGGTCAAAGCATGGTAGCAAGCCACAAACAAGGTGTTTTGGTTATCTACAATTATAGAAAGTAACCATTATGTAAGCTACAAAGCCTTCCCCAAAATGAAAAGAAAAATCAAGACAAGATACTCAAGCTTAAAATACATGAATTTTTCAATTCACACTAGAGACTCGAAAATGTTCTCAATTTCTCATCTTTACTAAAGTATGTCAATCAACAATTAAACCCCTGAATATCATGCAACAACCTACCATTCTATGTGCATGTAAATGGACCAAAGATGATAATCATTCAACAATGCATTGCAAACATGAAACAAGATAAATGCAGCACAAGCACAACAAAGCTTACCTCTTCAACAATAATATACAAAACATGCATCAAATTGGCATACAGCAAAAAATTTGACCCATTAATTTGAATGAAATAAAGAAAAACTCCAAAAATGGCAATCAATAAGAAGAGTAGAACACACATAAATATCATTTCCAAAAACACAAGAAAAGAAATACCATATCCAACTGAAAAATGTGAATAAAATAACAACAGTGACCTTTTCAACTTTAGCTGCAGCCTTGGCAGATTGACTGTATAACTCTTCTCTAACAGTTAATTGGCCCCTCAGCTTTTTGTCCTTTACAGCCTGCAAATTGGAAGCCCAAGGTTGATGATATATGAAGTTAGGAACCTTTATCCTTTTATATAAGAGTGATGAATACGACTATCATTGCATGCTCTATAAAATAAGAAGGAACTAAGAAACTTAATTGAGAGTAGCTTCGTTTTATAGATGTAATCAAACGAACAGAAGAAGCTATATACCTTCAAGCCCTTATTCTCTCCTCGTAAGTACTTTTTAATATCTAAATCTTCTTCATCTGACAAAGCCATGTTGAATATATCCTGCATAACCACAATTAAAAGTGAATATAAGCCACAAATTGAATGATTGGTTGTATGGGGATTGTAGTTTCCTGATATGTACTGATTGTAGATCGATTATTCAAACAAATGCTAACTTTGCATTTGATAACTAAGATTGATAAAGTTAACATCGCCTGATGAAAGTTCACTTTATTCAAACAATGCCAACTTTTTATTTGGTAGGATCAAATAAAATTAGCTATTAAGTTCCTAATATCTCTCTTCAATCCAAAGAATATACCATATAAGAAGCTTCAACACTACACATGGAGATAAAAGAAGCAATTCATATCACTAAAAGCGGACTCAATTTTGGGAACACTTCCATGAAGACAATATGCTAAGCACACCAAGAAAAACAAATAGTTTAACATTTTCTTCATCAACTTATCTGAAGGGAAAGTGTTGAATCTGTCACTCAAACAAGTAACATACTTGTCCCACAACGCATTTACTTCCAGTGATTTCCTCACCAGCCACCAATACATAAATGTTCATGGGAAACCACATAAACAAATCAAGGATGACAACATTTACATAGCTTACAATTGATTAATTCAGACATGTTGACCCATGTTATATAAAAGGAACCAAAAAGTAAAAACAATAACAAACAAACTAGTTATGTATAACCAATAATTCATGCGTTCCAGAAATGAAAACAAATGCTACGACATGAAGTTAACAATCAGAGAGCCAGACGTAAGAATCCCCGTGAAAGTATTGATTGCTATCAAGATTTCACCCAAAGCAGTACTTGAATAGGATTAAATGTAATAATGTACCGAAAAATGACAATCATAATTACAATTATCTTAAGGCGTAATTTTGAATTTATTATAGGAGAAGAACAAATGTACTGATCAAACAGTCATTCAAGCCGACTATGTTGGTAGTAAGATAATAGAAGGAAGAGTTTATATTAAATGAAGCCTGCAAATAAATTTATGGGGAAAAATCATTAAAAAAAAAACATACCAATTTATTTTCAATTTCATGAAAAAAGGAAGATAAATCATGGAAAATGAATAAATAATTTCAGTTTCATCAAAGAAATAAGATCACTAACCTCTTTTAGATAGAGAAGGAATACGGAGGCTTTCGCGGAAAGATTGCACAAAACCAGAAACCCTAACCTCGAGCACAACACAGCAAGAATGACAGAGAGAGAGAGAGAGAGGTGGGGGATTTGGGAAGGGGATGAGAGAGTTATGGATTAGGGTCTGAGATGACGAGGGAAGGATTTAGGTTAGGGTTTAAGACGGGTAGAGAGGGTTTTCGGTTAGGGATTTAGACGGGGAGAGAGGGCTTCGGGTTAGGAAAGGAGAGAGATAGAGAGAGAGTGTTAAACCTGAGGGAGAAGCGAAATCAGAAAAAGAAGTGAGCGCTTTGGGTAAGAGAGAGAAAGAGCGTTTGTTTGAAAATCTTGAAAATATACTTTTTAGAAAATACTTTATTTTATCTAAAACCATAAAAAATATATTTTTTAAAATTATTAAAAATAAATACCAAATTTTTGAAAACCTCATTCATACCCATTTTCACCATGTTAATATTTGTTTTCCTGTTGAAAATACCATTCACGGTAGTCTTAGATCTATAAAGGCATCATAATTAACCCAAAATTGTGATGGCGATAGTTGCTTCTAAGTAAATTTGTATTGGTTTAAGGCTAAAACCGTGTTTGACGCACCACAGCAATTAAAGCATTGTAATGGATTGTTTAACTATCACGGTTCTAATTGAACTTAATAGTATCACGATGGTGCGAGATCCATAATAGTTAAGGTGATCGTCACAGTTATTTAAGTAACGTGATGGTTCTAATGCTACCTCATCATCACGGTTCTAATAGAATCACGATGACTTAAGCCCCTCACCAAAAGTGTTTGAAGCATATACAACTATCACGATTTTGGGTTAACCATGATGCATTCACAGACCTAACACTTCCGTAAATGGTATTTTAGTAATAAAAAATGAAAAGTAATGAAAAAGGGTATGGATAAAGTTTTGGAAAATTTAGAGTTTATTTCTATTAACCTTAAAAAAATGATATTTTTTATAATTTCTCTTTTTTTTCGTTAAACTTTGAACCTATTTGAAATTGATCGGTATATGTGAGCGTGACCACTTTATACCAAAAAAACAAAGGGTGAAGCTTGTACAAGGTTGCCTCGTTATATTGTATAAATAAGGTGGGTGCGCATGCAAAATTTCCTTAGAGATGTTGTTTTGGTGTCGAAAACTTTATGATGGCTCAAAAATCTCTTTTTATCCTCAGTTGTAAAATTGAAAATCCTGAAAATAGACGGTCCGGATAATTTGTTACAATATGCAGTAATTTTTAGACTTGAAATTCTTTTTTTCTTCATGTCAAGATGATCACTTTGAGGGTTCTCCACTGCCATAACACTTTCCTCTCTATAATTTTTGAGGTACACCTTACTTCAATAGTATAAGGTTGCAATCTTATATATACTTTTTTTTTTTAATTCAAAGGACTTAAACAACTATATTTTTTAAGACTTGGGCAGATAAAATATCTGTTTTCACTTATTTTAAATCAAAAATAATTTTTAAATATTGAAATTTCAGGAAAATTGAAGGCATGGAAGGAGTTGCAATATATTTTTCCTATTTCTTCTCTTCCAAAGATAGTGCAAGTTTTGATAAGAATTTGGAGTCTCTTCCAATTGAAAAGGAGCTCGAGCTATTTGTTAAGAAAAAGCTAGGATCAAGCTCGAGCTTTGTTGGCACATGCGGTCACGAGGCCTTCTTCCAGTGATTTTTCAAGGTTTGCACTAAGTTACACTGATCAATATTAGGGTTTCGTGGGGCTCAGGATAGGGTTAGGAATGGATCTGGTTGGGCAAAGGTTAGACCTAGACCCGACTCAAGCCCAGGTTAGGGGGACGTCAATTGGACTCAGACCCAATCCACTGGGTCTAGACAAGGCCGGGTCTAATTTTTTTTAAAAAAATTATTATGTTGTATTATTTTATTTTTTTGGACAAAATGATGACATGTTTTATAGTGCATAATTACCTTACACAAAAAAAATTGTGTCAAGTCCGATCGTGTTTGATCCCAACTTAAATTAATAAGGTCCAAGTTGGACCCAACCAAGTGAAATTTAAGGATTAGACTCGGTGACAACCCATTAAGTCCACTAGCAAACCAGACCTGTTTCCCACCTCTAGCTGAGGACATTGTCAGGGGATGCATCCCAAGCAATAAATCATATATTGGCATTGGCACATCAGAGTTCTGTTATGTCAAAAGAGTCAAATCAATTTGGGTTGTGATTTTAGACGAGCTTAAGCATTAATGGAAAGGAGAATCGCATTGTGAAATATACCATCAAAGCAGATAGGGCAGAGGGGGGTTCAAAGAAGAGAGAGCGACTTTTGAGTTTGGATGGGCCTGCTATAAAAAAATAAAAGATGGACATTTTAGTAAAGCTGAGGTTTGCTTTAAACTATGCAAGTAAGGTGCACCTTTAAATTTTACTAGAATATCTAGTTTTAATTTCGAAAACCTTACTAGGGCTTGAAAACCTATATTCAAGTTTAATTATCAAATTTAAAATTCAAAAAATGACGTAGATCAAACAAATATATAAACATTTAGAAATCTTGAAAATAGACTGTCCATATAACTTGTTATAAGATGCACCATTGTTAATACTTGAAATTCTTTTTTCTTCTTTACATACATACATCTTATGGTCGAGATGATAATTAGAAGGTTCTTCAACATCAAAACACTATTTTCTAGTAGATTTTTCTAGTGTATATTATTTTTAGGGAAAATTTTGTATAGAACCCTAATTCCTCGTATTATTTCATGGTAGATCTTCTTTTCATTTTTTTTTCAAGCGGCATAAGTAAATCCCTAATGATTTCACTTTACCCCCTCGTCTTTTATCTCCCTCTTTTATTTACTTTTGACTATAAAAATTAATCCTAACAAATCTTTTTATACTATTTCATCCAAAAAATGTTTTTAACCATCTTTTTCCCTTTCCACCTATTAAAAAAGTTTTTAGGTTGAAATGGTATAAAAAGGCCATTTTATCCAAAAAATATTTTTAACCTTTTTTTTCCTTTCTACCCATTAAAAAAAAATTTGGGTTGAAATAGTATAAAAAAATTTGTTGGGGTTAATTTTTATGATCAAAAATCAATAAAAGAGGGAGATGAGAGATGAGGTGAAAGTTTAGGGGTATTTTTATATGTTTGAAATTATGTTGTTTGAAAGAAAAATAGAAAAAAAGTCTACCACGAAATAATACGAGAAATTAGGGTTCTATACAAAAATTTTCCTTATTTGTATAGGTCAAGCGTTTCCCTTTTAAGAAATGTGGTTGGTGGGACGGAGGATTTGATCAATTAAATTATAGACCCAGGGGCTCATTTGGGCGGCCTGAAAAGTGAGAGAGGGGTTATAAGTCTACTCCTAAAAATAAAAGATGTGATATCACTGTGCAAAGACTGAATTAAAACATTTCACTACAAATCCTTCTCCAAATATTCATTATCATCTTTTATCTAGCAATCGTTCTCCAAATAAACCTTTATTATTATTATTATTATTAACTGCCTTAACCAATTTAAATTCACAATACTCTCACAACGGCCCCTAATCTCCACAAACAACGCATGACCCTCCACCCAATCACCTTAAACCCCAACCCCAAAACCCTAAAATCCCTACTCCAAACCTCCAAAACCCTGACCCAACTCAAACCACTCCATTGCCACCTCACCCGAAACGCCAAAGCCCAAGCCCAAGGCCAAGACAATAGCTCCACTCTCTTTCTATGGACACTTCTCATTCGGGCCTATACTCGAGCCCACCACTCGAACAAAGCCCTAGCAACCTTCCTCCAAGTGACTCGAGCCCACTTGAGCCCAACCCACTTCACCCTGGCCTCACTTTTGCACGCATGCTCGAGCCAAAAGGCCATATGGCTGGGCTCGAGTGCCCACGCATGCTTCCACAAAGCCCACAAGGCCCATAACCCAATTCTGGAAACCTCTCTTCTGGACATGTATGTCAAGTGTGGGTTGATGAACCAGGCTTGTCAAGTGTTTGATGAAATGCTGCAACGAGATGTGGTTTCATGGACTGTGATGGTTGATGGGTTGGCCAAGCTTGGGTTCATGGCTGAAGCTAAAGCTTTATTCGATTATATGCCTCAGAGAAATGTGGTTTCATGGACTGCAATAGTTGCTGGTTATGTGAGAAATGGTGATATGTGTAATGCAAAGGAGGTGTTTGATAAAATGCCTGACAGAAGCGCCATGGCTTTTACTGCTATGATTTCTGGTTATTGCAAAATTGGGCAAGTGGGTCTAGCGAGAGAAGTATTTGATTCAATGGGTAGCCGTGATTTGGGTTCATGGGGTGCTATGATTGCTGGTTATGCTCAGAACTGGTGTTGTGAAGAAGCTATTGAGCTCTTTTATAAGATGAGAAACCGTGGGGTTAGAGCTAATGAGATTGCAATGGTGGGTGTTGTCTCAGCTGCTTCAAAAATTGGAAAACCAGAGGTTTCAGACTCTGTTTCGGAGTATTTAGAGGTTTTCGGGATTGAATTGACTGTGTTTTTGGCCAATGCTCTAATACATATGTACATGAAATGTGGGGTTATGGAGAAAGCAAAGAACGTGTTTGATGAAATGGGTGAAAGCAGAGATATAATCAGTTATAGCACCATGATTGCTGGTTTAGCTGATCATGGACATGGGTTCGAAGCTTTGGGGCTTTTTGAAAATATGATAAAAAATGATTTGAGACCAAATGCGGTTACTTTTATCAGTGTCCTCAGTGCTTGCAGCCATGCTGGGTTGGTAGAACAAGGTTGCAGGTATTTCAAGATTATGAGGGAGGATTATGGAGTGAAGCCATCAGTGGAGCATTATGCTTGCTTGGTTGATTTGCTTGGAAGAGCTGGTATGCTTGAAGAAGCTTACGAGTTGATTTTGGACATGGAAGAGACGCCTGATAGTGCAATATGGGGTGCTCTTTTAGGAGCTTGCAGGCTTCACGGAAACATAGAATTGGGTGAAATTGTAGCTGAGAAGTTGTTCGAATTGGAGCCCGATAACACAGGGAATTATGTACTCTTGGCTCATATATATGCTTCAAAGGAAGAGTGGGCAGAAGCAGAGAGGGTGAGGAGGAAGATCAGAGACAGAGGGATGAGGAAGAGTCCCGGTTGTAGCTGGATTTGAGATTCGATATTGGTGGTTAGAGATGATGGCAATGATGAGAAAAAGTTGTTTATAATTTAGAAGCCACGAACTTTATATGAGCACTAATGATGCAAGATGAGCACTTTGTTTAAATATTTGGAAGAAAGTCAAAAAAAACTTGTAAATATGCACAAACAACAAAAGCCGAGAAAGTCTTATTCTCAACTTTTGCTTGCTTTTAATACATTTTTTTCTATCTTTCCATGGCACGGAATGACGGATCAGGATCCATGCAGCCCACCATAAAGAGAGATGCACAGAATGGCGGATCAGGATCCATGCAGCCCACCATAAAGAGAGATCAATTTGTTCCCTGCACAAAACCAAGGTGGTTTTTGTAACACACTTCATCCCATGGAGCCATGTAAAGGAAAAGGCTTTAATTGCTCTAGAATATCATTATTTATCTCTAGAGTTTAACATCCCCAAAAGTATTGTTCAAAAAGAGTTCACACAAATTATTCACTTCATACTTTTTTAAGGAGGGCCAAGGTGCTGCACAAACAACTTTAAAATTCAATTAGCAAGAACAGTTAAAAATGAAAACCCTAAATTAAATTGTGACAATCCATATTTTCTTCTAATCAAAACCATGGATGGGTCCTTGCACCCTTCCGGCAACTACATTATGTGGCCTCTTTGCAATACCAGAGTTAAAATAATAGGGAACACTTAACAAATACACACAAAAAAGAAGAAGCGAAAGTACACAGAAATTGCCAATAATAAATCCAAAGGCATCGGAGCATAAGCAACACCAGTTTAAACAAACCCTTGAATTCCAACAAAAAGCTTGCAAAAATATAAAGCAAATTGCCAACAAATAAAGCTAGCAAGTAAAATAAATTTGCAAAGTTCACATTAAGCGCCATTTCTATAACAGAAAATAAACCAAATTTTTTTAAAAACAAAAACAAGAAAATAAAAACAGGAAAAGAAACGAAATGAAAAAGAAAATGCCATGCGAAATTGGCATACTCTGGTCAAAGATACTCAGAAACAGTCTATTCCCTTGAGCCCCAACAATTAGCACCCTGCCTTGTCAATAAACACATTCTCATGTATTATATGTATACATTTATCTATCAAGGGCAGGAACATGAGGTTTCTTACACAACCCACCTGTTAAAAATTCGACACGATTAAAACATCAGATCCTTCTCTCTTCTGCCTCTTTTTTGATGCAGAATAACCCTGTCTTCAATCCTCTAGAGACCCATGAGGTTTTCAAATTGCCCCAACTCTATTTTTATTTGTCAAGGCTCGGAAAGTCCCGAGTGACTTGGAATTATCATACAAAAGCAAACGTAAGAATATATCTAATTATTTTCATGTATATCATTTACAGTTATATGCATCTGGCTCCCTTTTCTTATGTACACTTCTTCCGCTTCGGCCGACAGGCTTACTTGAGCTGCGATCATGTGCAGATTGGGAGTGTGTTGCCGCCAACTCTCTCACTCTTAAGAGGATGGGCGCAGGAATCGGTAGTGTTGTGTGCTTTCGGGTATTCCTGGCCTATAAAATTTCTCCATTCAAGCAACATATCGAAAATAGAGACTTAGAGAGCGAACAGAAAAGTGAAAGATGAATAAGACATGGGGAAAAACAGAAGACTGCGTAGAAGCTGGGAATGAAAACAAAACGAAAATGAACAAATAATGTATAAGAAACATGTCAAGAAGCTCCTAACCTCTCTGCCTGTTGGCCCTTGGGCATAACTGGCTCGGAGGAGATTCCGCCACTTGTCCTGTAAAACCCAAACCCAGAATATTAATCTAAAGCAAAAACAAAAGGGAAAAGAAAACCTCCGACTAATCCACAACTTGTGAAATAGGCATGATTATTCTCTGTTTCATTTTGCAAGTCAGACGTTGCAAAACCCGTGAAGTGCCAACAAACTAATCAAATTTGCACATAAAGGACCAACAAATGACATATTCAGTATAAAATGCAAATTACAGAATCCCAGAAACCTAAAGAGAAAAAATAGAAGTCAATAAACAAATTCATCCTCTCAGTACCCAAGACACAGAGATGCTGGGTACCCATACGCACTTGCTTGTTTTTTTTTTTTGACAAGGTTGCATAGGAATGGAACTCGAGATGTAGTGCTATAAAACCCAGCTGCTACGATCTTTGGACAAGTCTTTCAATGGGCAATTCAGATTTCGAAGAGGCCAGTGCACCTCAACTCCGACCAATTTCAGTAAACAACAATCAGACCATTCATTCACATATATATTTTCACATTGTTTCTACAGATTCAGAACTGACACATACATACACACGTAAATGAAGACCAGAGTCACACGATCAAATCTAAACGAGGAATGAGATTTGGTCCCTAACCCCACATCCTTCCAAAACCACCAAACAGTGGTCACAAAAATCACAGCAAAACTCATCATTACTTTATAGACAGATTAAAGTATGCATGTATGTGGTAAAACAAAATCGTCTCACATACGATGTGTACGAGCAGTTCCAAGGCATGTATATAGTTGACTTGATATGAGAAGCTATATTTTCTTTCTTTGGGTGCATTTTAAATTTTACAACAAACCTTTAGGTCAACAGAGGTTCGATATGTGTAGGAAGCAAATGCAAGCCTTTTGATTTCAGACCACCTTCCACATCCATAACGAGAAACTCCCTCAACCAATTTCATGACCTCACACAAAGTCCATGCTCTGTGATGCTTCCTTCTTATCCCACCTTTTGCAGTGGGAACAGTAACGACGGATTCATCATCAGCAGGATCGAGATCTGAATGCTCCGTATCTCCCTCAATGACAAGTGGCACTATTGCACCCTTCTCGATCCGGATTTTTGCACCAATCTGGAAGGAAAGAAGGATATAAGCACTATAACCATAGGAGAAAACATATAAAATGAAGCTCCTCCTTTTTTCTGAAAAGAACTATTTGTCATACCGAGTGGTCAGCAGGTGCTGAATTAGATCTAGAATTCCACCTTTTTCCTGCCTTTTCACCATCCTGGCGAGCAGCACGGACACCAAGGGCTTTCTTCACCAGTTTCGCAGCCATGCCACTGGAATTATATTTCTGGTAGCCAAAACAAATAGATTTCAATGAAACAGCAATTTAGTGTGTAAATAAAGAAGGCCAATTTAGTGTGCAAATAAAGAAGGAAGAAAGAGAAAGAGAATGAAAGCTTTTCCAAAATTTAGTTAACATGGTGATTTAAGACAAAAAAGAAAGGTAAATTCTGTAATTTAGACAATGAGAAGGTCAAAAGGATGTCAAATGTCCTCTTTTGTTGATTCCATGGGATATTTAAGGGACAAGGAGTTTTTTTGGGATTACAACTTTAGAGAGGGGGTTTATGTTTGTCTTTTTCCCTAAAATCTTTTGGTGGTAACAAGAGGAAATAAATCTCAATGAAGCTTAATGTTGAACGGTAAGGATTCTACAGGAAAATTATATACAAAAGTAATACCCAGGACAGCCCATATAAACGAGTCAATCTACACTGAACCAATAAATCCAGTTTCCCATTCTCCAATTTCAACCAAAAATGAATAAATTAATTAATAACTAAAGATATAGCTACAAGGACGAATGAGGTCACTCTTTATTTATGAGAAAACAAGTGGGATAGATGTCCTTCAGAATTCTCTGATTCATTCACCTTACTGCTAGGATGTCCTTGTAAATAAAGCAGGAGTAATTCATGATGTGAGGCGTTTTTTTTTTTTTTGGGGGGGTTGGGGGTCGGGTGTGTGTTTGGTGTTAAGGTAACAAGTAATTGCAATTTCATACCATGAAACCCATGAAGTTTTTCCTAGGACGTCCTCTTCGCACTCTAGAAACAAATGGAACAAGAACACCTGATCCCCCAAGAGAATCTTGCCTAGCCACTATATCTGCTTTCACTGATCCACCATCATACGCAGGCCTGACACGAGATTTTGGAGATGACTGACCATGCCCCGAATTTCGAACAGAGGAAACCAATTTACCACTGCATTCCCTAGCCTCCACTTCAGAGAGTTCTTCAATATATCTTTTAGTAGGCTTACGAATTCTTTTGGAAGCGGTTTGCTCTGGCCCATGATCATCATTTTTCACCTCATATTCTAATTTAGGTTTTCTCAACCTCTTTCCTGAAACGAAATTCCTACCCATGTGACCAACACCAAGACCCCAACCTTCAATGGTTCTCCCACTAGGTGTCACACCTTCCATTGCTTCCACATCATTTGTTTTCTTAAGGGATTTATTTTCAATAATGAAACTGGTGGTGGAAACATTGCAAGAGTTGGTAAGGCCCATAGCAATTCGCCGCTTCAGCCACAATTTGTCCTTAACAGAAGTTTCGCGTCCAAAGGTAGCTTTAAATGTTTCATGAAGTTCTCTTATTGATAGATTATCTAAACAAATCTCACCTTTTACAGTGGAAAAATCAGGCTTTAAACTATTGTTATTATGAGAAGATGAATCATTTCCTTCATTCTCTGCCATAGTTTTGGTGCACAGGTTAGGGCTGCCAATTTTGGAATCCTGGTCATCAGTTAAGCAGGGCAACAATGGAGGGGAGTTTACTTGTGAAGAGTATTCAGACAGGAAGTTTGCATCACCAACAATTAATTGCTCATTCTGATCACGCAACTGCGCATCTGTATCCAAAATAAATTTAGAAGAAGGATCAGGAGTTCCACACGACAAAAGCAACCGCTCTTCCTCTTTGACCTTTTGTAGCATCCCCTCAATATACTACAAAACAATAAAAAATAAAAAACAAAAAATCATTAGTGACATTGTTACAGCTGGTTAAAAAAACTGAGGTTAACTACTCAAAAGGTACACAAAGTAAAAAAGCAGATTATTCAAACTACATGAGGTTGAACACATCATAATGGAACAAAATACAAAGTACATTATACGGAACACAGATGGTAAATGCCATTCTAGTAGCAAGGTACAAGTTCAAACAACCTGAGAAACAAAAGTAAACCAATAAAATACCCTGTCCAAAGATCTTAAACACGGCTTGTGTAATAAGTAATACATTTTCAGAAGTATATAGCCATAAAGAGATATTTTCAGAATTAGTGCACTGCAAAAATATGCAAATGCACATGGTTCCGGCAGACATTCATCTTATACAAAGAATTTGGATCCACAGTCCTGTCATGATTTTATTAACAGTGCAAGCCTAATGCATAACATTAAGCAATCTTGCATTTATAATAAATAAAAAAAAGCAATAATAACATAAAGAAATAAATATTCCACAACATTAAAATCCTTTTCAGGGTCATCTATTGAAGTTTTATGCTTCTATATGCAAATCTAAAAAGCCAAAATAATATACTTCTCACAAAGAATTAAATAAAAAAAATCAATCATGACTAGAAGAACATGAAGGCAAGTACTAAGGAGATTGAGTGCAGTTGATCTTTTACGTACTTAGAAGGAAAATAATCATGGAATTTTTAAGGCAGTTGGTACCTCACACCAGAAAAGTAGATGGAGCAACCAGTAATCGAAGCAAATATCGAGAAATGAATTTTGCAGTGTTAAGAGAAGTGGACCTCATAATAAATTGGAGCTTGGACATCCACTGAGCTACCATCGTACAAACCAAACTGCATTAGAGTATTGAACACCGCCAAACTTTGTGAACTAGATTATAACAATAGTTTGATGGGTAACCTTAAATTGCCAATGCAGTAACAAATCTGACCATCTTCAAACAGAATGAGGCCGATATGTCTAGAGCATAGCTAGCACTTTTGTAGTACTGTAATAATGAAGGTGCTGACAAATTACAGATGCACTAAAAAACGGAGGAAAAGGATTCAAGTAGCTACCACAAATAATTGGGATAAGACTAGGATGATGATGATGATGATGATAGATGCACTAAAATTATTACCTACATGAATGAAAGCATATGCCCATAACTGCACTCTGAGCAATTTCAGATATCTAAAGAGTACCACATGAGAAGAATGTGTTTAGCTTCAGTGACAAAGTCATCATCATCATCATCATTATAGCCTTTTTCTAACTATTTGGGGCCGGCTACACGAATCCTGGTCTACCATTCTGCTATATCAAGAGCTATACACTCAATGAGGCCATAACTCCCCATATCTTTTCTCACTACTTCCAACCATGTCATTCTGAGCCTACCCTTGTCTTTTTAAGCCTTCCACTTGATCCAACGTGCACCTCCTAACAACTAATAGCATATTCCGGCTAATAGCATAATTTCATTTTGACAAATTATAGATGCACTAACAAAAGGAGGAAGAGAATTCAAGTAGTTGATCGCAAATAATCAATATAAGGCTAGGATGACGATGATGATGATGATAGATGCACTAAAAATATTAGCTACATGAACGAAAGCATATGCCCATAACTACACTCTGAGCAATTTCCGATATCTAAAGAGTACCACATGAGAAGAATGTGTTGCGCTTCAATCAAAGACAAAGCCATCATCATCTTCATCAGAGCCTTTTCCTAACTATTTGGGATCGGGTACACGAATCCTGGTCTACCATTATGCTCTATCAAGGGTCATACACTTAGTGAGGCCATAAGTCCCCGTAACTTTTTCACTATTTCCAACCATGTCGTTTTGGGCTTACCCTTTTTCTTTTTAAGCCTTCCACGTGATCCAACTTGCACATCTTAACCGGTGTTGTACTGAGTCTGGGCTACACATGGACAACCCACCTAAGTCTACAATTTCTATCTTATCGCCTATTAGAGCTACACCTAAGTTCTTTTGAATGTATTCATTTTGAATTCTATCCCTTCTTGTCTTGCCACTCATCCATTTCAACATCCTCATCTCAACTACACTTGTCTTATGGGTATATGTTGTTTCTTGAACGCCCAACATTCCGCCCCATAAAGCAAAGCTGGTCTCACAACTGTCCTATAAAACTACCACTTTAGCTTCATTGGTATGCGGCGATCACATAAAACTCTAGTTGCACATCTCCACTTCGCCCATCCAGCTCTCATTTTATGTGCTACATCTTCCTCAATCTCTCGATTTTCTTAAATTATCGACCCGAAATCTCGAAAGTGCGATATTTTTGGAGTAAGAGAAAGTAACTATGTAATATATATGTACTTCCTAACGCCAATATACATTTCGTGAAAGTAGCAAGTTGAAAAGATCCCTTTGTATCATATGTAGAAATCTCTACAAGTGCCCAGCTCCTATGATAGAGCTCCATCCACGACCATAAGATGTAAAGCTCATTTGGCACATCTTCCATGATGCCACCACCAAATCATTACCACAACCCTATAGTACAGAGAGAGCCTAAGGGTATGAATTGCAAGGTATCAAAAGAATAAAGCAACTTGAAAGGAACATGTAGGGTACTCTCAAGAACTGATTTCTCGATTTTTTTTGGTTTTTCTGTTTTTTTTCTTTGAAACAATGATTTATACATCAGTAGGACATGACATCTTAAATTATATGGAGGAGTTCAAATCATCAAGACTGCAAAGAAATAGAAAGCAAGTAATTTGCATTTCCATTTCAAATATCTAATGACTGTTCATAATGCATGCTCAACAACAAACCTCAAGTTTAGCGCTCAGTTTTCTCTTGTTGATGTCCAAACCCTCGGATTGTGAAGAACCTGACAAGTATATAGCGGATTAAGTCAATAATTATTCTGAAAGTTCAATCGAATGTAATGCCTTACAAGCAGCACAAGAATGATATCACACATAAGAAAAAAAATCCAAACATAAGTTTCTAAAATAAAGCTATTTTTCATGGAACTGCAAAGCCCCAAAGCACATTTCACAATAGACAGAGGGAGTTTGCCTAAAAAATTGTGGAACAGCAAGTACAACATACTCAGATATTAGAAAAGAAATGAGTTGAAAAACTCACAAATATATTTAGAACAAATTGAAAATAATAGTCCAACTAATATATATTGGGTGCTAACAATTGTGAGAGAAAAGAATATACATATATAGTTTTGCACGAATGGATTACATAGGGGATAGCTCAATCCTCATAAGGGATTCTCTTCAAAAGTTAATATCAGTCTGAATGCACCAAGCAGTGTATCGAAAAAAAGAGAGAGCACGGAATGTGAACAGGCCTGTCTCTTTAATTTAAAGCAAGTACAATGCCCGCAGAAGGAGAGCCAGCATCTAAAAAGAAGCAACATTTTTATCACTGATAATTAAAGAGAAGCAACTTCCTCCTAGATAGAATGGAGAGAATTGGGTAAATGCAACAGTAGCACTTCAGATGAAAGAGAAGAGTGGGCGGAAAACAGAGAATTAGAAGAGGAGCATCTAAAAGGGTTCCACTGTATCACATTCAAGGGCCACTTCAGAATAATTTTCCATGGCCATCAATGACACAAGTGCAAAAGCAGAATAAACGTATTCCTCCATTTCCTAGACAATGTCTGGCCACTGTATCTATTCTCCCCATTGGGTATTCATCCATAATGACAAGTTCAATCATCTCTTAAGAAAACAGCACACAAGGTCAGAGAGGCCTTAAGAACAGAACCAATTTCTGATGGCCACCACAGACGACAGATTTTGGCTCTAGGTATCACTGTACCAGCACTGATCTTTGAGAGCCCCAGTTGCTTATATATAGAATATGTTATAAAGTTATCCAGGTCCTTGGATGTGGAATCTACTCTCTTTTACAGGAACATCACACATTCACAAGAATCATCTTCCCAGAGATATACTTTTAGGTGCCTTATTCTTTAATAATAAATATGCACGAAAAAAAGAAGGTTCGCATGTTGAGCCATGAGCACCGGCAAATTATTTATGAGAGAGAGTTGTCAGTGAACCTAAACCACTAGTTCGCAATGGACAGACACCATAAGTATACTTTTTCCTCGCTAGCAGGTGTTGAGTAAATCACCAGGCAATCTATGATGTCCAGATATTGCTAAATTGCTAAGCTCAGGCCAATATTAACTGCTCCCAGGGCAAGTCCACCCCAAGTCAAGGATTTTCATTGTGTTCTTTATAAGAACTTGACCTAGTTGGACCCACGACAGAGCTGAGTCATGAGCTTTTAATCATTGCTGTCGAGACAATTATAGGAATGTGCTCCCATCAATAAAGAACCAATTTGGTATCTTCTGTTGCTAGAATCATCATTTAATGCAGGGTTTAAAAAAATGCCGATCTAGATCAGAATTGCCATATGCCGATTGGTAGTCAGTGGCATCTGGTCTGTTTCCCACTATATATAGGGAACTAGCCAGTTCTCACTAGGTTTCAGCCTGTTCTCTGACATAACCAGTTATGTGACCTAATTCAAAATGCCACAAATACCCATGATATACATTATACCCACATTATACCCAAAAAGGGGAGGAAAGAAGGGGACCTGTTTCCTTTTCAACAGTGAAGGCATGCAAGTCAGCCCTGCTGCTAACCCATTATACCCAATTACCAATATATATTACAAATGAAGCCTCATATTCAAAGGCGATTCCAAATTAATATGTTACTTTTAATACCGAGGATTTCTGAATTTTACTCTTGTAAATCGGAGACACAAGGCTCACCATCATATGACTCACCAATCCAAAATTTCTACCATGTGCAACCATCACATCCTACCAAACCAACACACAACCCCCCTAAATCAAATCATGAAATGGCGCAAACAAGCTTAGAGCATCGTCAAATAACAAGAATAATAAACCATGCATTACACTGACAGCATTCATTAGTGAAACATACGATAACTTTCATATTAAATATCATTCTGCATTAACAAATTAATCACATTAAAATATCACTCTGCATTGTAACAAAATAATCCACCAATAGACCCAATATCAAGTCAGCCATCAAAATTGAAAAGAAATTAACATCATATTGACTAATGTTATCATATTTAACTTGTTTAACATGCTAACCTGCTTCACATGTGAATAAAACAAATACCAAAATGACTCAAAATTATCAATAATACTAGAAGGGATAAAAATGAACATAAACTGACGGTCAGATAGAAGTACATAAAGACCATTTATATGCCTGCAAAACTACAATGTTACATGTATAAGACACAGAAAAGATTCATATGAAGTAACTACATGACTAATCCAGTAACAAATCTGTGACACATAATTAACGTTCGACATTGCCTATAAATGTGCAATTCTGATAAAACCAGGGAAATATAAGGGCCTGTTTGGGTGACAATCAATGCCATCTTGTCTATATATTACTCTTGTCTAAAAATTAGTATATTCTCAAAAATATTTACTTTGTTAGTTTTTATCAACTGAAAGCAAACAGACTGGATTAAGCACCTCTCCAATCTCCACTACCAGCGCCTTCTTTTGATTAGCCTCCTCTTCATTAACCATAAAAAAACCAATTCCAGAAATGCGTTAGAAACCAAAATTCATCAAACCAAACCCTAATCAAATCAAATCTTGATTCCATTTCCACCATCAATGACGAGCTTGAGAAGCTTTTAGTTGAGAGCTCTTACTTTTTGCCAATAAATCTGAGATTGTTTCCAAAAGGAATTATTCTTTCAAGAATAAGCCCACAAAAAAAAGGATCATTGTACAAGAGGCAGTAAAAGTAAAAGCCCTTGATTCTACTTCAGACACCCCACTAGAGCACCCTTTGAACTTAACTGTGTTCAATTCACTTATTTGTGCAACCACAAGGGATGTGTTTTTTTTTTTTCCTCAAATGTGAACTTGGGACTTTTATGAGAATAGAACTCTAGGCATCAGGTTCTGGCACCTGCCACCCAGTTCTACCTAGAGCCCGATCTCACCGAGAGGGTCTTCTTCGGGTAAAACATCTGAATGATTCCAATAACAGGGATTTCACCCTTTCAAATATCAGAAACATCGATTAAGTGCTTACCATGTCTTCTGGGGCCCTGTTACTGGTTCAGTTCTCATTGGAGAGGTGGAGAGCTGCTAATCCATTCTACTCTTCTTATCATATTAGAATTCATAAAGCAAAGGTGAACGACTATTATTTTAGGGTCTGGAGGAGCAAATGATGGTACCTGAACCTTCAACAGTGATGTGGCTGATGGGATTGGGGGATTCAAGATGAAAAATAAGAGAGAGGGGGGCAAGGAGAGAATGTGCATGCACAGGAGAGAGAGAGAGATATTTTCCACTTTGGTGGTTGAAGGAAAAACAAATTTTCTTTGCCCTTTGCCAAAAATTTAGAGTGCCATTATTCAGTGTAAAGATCAAATACATTCTTCAGTGGTATAAGCATACATGAAAAAAGTGTTCAAGCCTATCTCAGAGATCTTTGTAGGCACAGGTGATTTGGATAAATTACATCACAGCACTGTTGAGATTTTTCATTAGACTGACCCAAATAAAGTATGGTAACAACCTAGAGTACTTCAAAGATAAGACATAGGTGCAACTTGGCATAAGTGCGACAAACAAACTCGTCTGTAAGAAGAAAAAGAAACCAAGAGACAACCTTCAGTATCCTCTAAAGCACCCTTCGTACAGTCTCCAGTAGGAGTACAATCATCATTATTGTCTGGGCCCACAGCTAATGATGTTCCACCCTTGTCATCGTCAAGCAAATCTTCAACCACCACCATAACCTCATCATCTGTAGCAGGTATTAGTGTTCCATCACCTTTAACCTGAAAATTTAAACCAAAAATATATTGTTATACAATTCTACAAGTGGAACTTGCAAAACAATGACCAAAAAGTACATAAAATCACATATCTATAGAAGTCACAGTAAACTAACACCTATAATCTTTCAAGTTCAGCTCTAAAGCTTAAAATAGACGAAAAACCATCATTACCATCAGAGCCTTTTCTCAACTATTTGGGGTAGGCCACATGAATCCCGGTCCGCCATTCAACTATATAAAGGGCCATACCCTCAGTGAGGACATAAATCGCCATATCTTTTCTCACTACTTGAACCAACTTGCACCTCCTAACTAGGGCTGAGAATTTTCTGGATCGGGTCCAGATCCACCCAAATCCAGATCAATCCGGATAGTATCCATCGGATCTGGATCCGAATTTTCGGATCTGGATCCGAATTCAGATTTACATAGGATCTAGATCCGATCCGAATCCGGATCTGTTCCAACAGTTGGTAAAAAATCCTTCATTTTCACCTCGTTGAGAAGCCCAAATGCACGCTTAACTTCACATTTTATGTAGTAACCAAAGATTAGTGTGTTCTAGGAAACAACATTAGGAATGCACCCTTCTCCCCATCGATCCTCTATCAATTTCCGACCCTGTTCAACTTTAACTTGACTGCACAAGCCTCTTACCATTATACAAATATTGTAATTATCAGCCACTGCTTGTGAATCATTTTCTCTCACTGAACTCCCTTCATTCTCTCTCTCTCTAACATCTCTGAGTAAATCTTTACTGCAATACCCATTTTTCCATTCTTGAGAGTATCAAGCAAGAAGTTGCAGATAAAAACTCGAGGAAAAAACCCAAACTTTTTGCAAATATGTGGAGATAATGGGACCATTCGATGAGACCAGCTTGAGCATGAGAAAGAATCAATTTGTTCAAGGCATGAGTCGGTTGCAAGCACTCAGCTTCCATTTCTTCTTCTTGGAATCGATTCGAGAACGCCAAAGACTTCGGAAGAGCAGAGTAAGAGAGAGAATCTAGACGAATGCCACTATGCTTGGAGACCCAATGAAAGAACTTGAGACCCAACTTGGGGTGGGGACGGAGCATAGAAGGATTTCCTAACCAACTTCGAACTGCAAGCGAACCTGTGGCTTTAAGCTAGCAAAAAAAGACTAGGCACGCCAAGTCTTTTCAAAGCCAGCAAGCGTAGGCTCGAAAGCCAAGAATCAATCTCAGCCGACACAACAACATAGGCTTCAAGATCAGCAGTTTCAGCCGTAAAAGCCAACGATAGAGGAGCATAGGAATTGTCTTTATCAATACCAAGGGGTGGCTTAAAGCGATAGAAATTTTGAAGGCGATCAATAACCAAACGAATAACATTTATACATTCGATTCCTCCCTTGAATGCCTGAAACTCAAAAGCACTTTCCCATTCTTTTGGGGTTTTAATAATCTCTTATATTTTATTTATTTTTAAAAAAATGTTAACGATTGTATTAAGAGCAAGGGGGGGGGGAATACATCGTAACAGCGAGACCGCCCACAGGCCAGGCTTCTCGTCAACAAAAAATCCCTATACAAAAAATGAGTGGGGCTTATAAAAGTGCCCATTACAAAAGATATACATAAGGAGCCAGTGGTTCCAAAAAGTCGAGATCACAAAAAAATAAGTGTGGGACCCAAAGAGCTATTCAGTCCTCAAACACTTACAGATCCGCAACGTGAGACGCCGCACCTTCCTTAGCCAATTGGTCCTCCAGGGTGTTTGATTCCCTCCAAATATGCCTCCATAAGGCGGTCGTACCCTTGCAAATGTGCGAAATCTCGTCATAAATCGAAGCAAGATACCAGGGAGGGGGGCTGATTTCCCGGAAGCCAAGGTGATAACCTTTTGAGCATCTCCTTCCACTATCAGAGGTAGGCCCCAAGATGGGTCCAATAATTTGAGGCCCGACAAGAAGGCCAAAGATTCTGCCGTCTGGGAGCCATAGTGTCATATAGACTTAGAGAAAGTGGCCAGAATATTGCCTCCGTGGTCATGGAAGGCACCTCCAACACTAGCTGGGTCGGAGTTTCCCAACAAACACCCATCAAAATTCAGTTTAGTAAGACCAATCGAGGGTGGAGACCAATTGTTGGCTCGACCAACCCTAGGTGTTTGGAGGTTGAGGACATTTGGGTCCCAAAGCAACCATATGGGTTTCTTTCAAATGTTTAGAATGGTAAGTTGCCAATGAACAAGAGGTGATTTTGAGAGGAATTTATAAAGAAAAAGATGGCTTCTCAATATTTAACAGGAAAAAAGGGGAGAGAAAAGGAGAAGAACTTTGATGAGGAGTAGAGATGATTGCCATAGGCAGAGCAATAGCGCAGAACAATACCACAGACCAATGTCGTGACAGAGCACTCCAATAGTGAGAGAGATGGGTTTCATTAGAGAGAGAGAGATGAGATAGAGATGGGTTTATCCCAAGTAACAGAGACTCAAAGTCCAGAGAGAACATGGATTCATGGAGAGAAACCCTAATATCAATTTGAATATTGAGAGAGATATATAAGGGTTATGGGTTCTCAAATCAACGGTGAGGATTAGTTTTTATTGAAAGTACAGTAGGGATTAGGTTTTAAAAACTATAAAAGTGTAATATGTATTATAAATACAAATTAACAAATAATACGCATATATTATATTGCATTATTCTAAAACTTTGGGTCGGATACACCCCAACCTAGATTTGATCCGAATTATTATTTGGATCTAATTTTTAGATTTGGATCCGAATTTCGGATCCAAATCTTGGATCCATAACCAGACTCGAATAAGATCCAAAATTCGTGATTCAGATCCAGATAGAGTCAATTCTCAACCCTACTCCTAACAGGTATTGTACTGGGACTGCGCTGCGCATGGCCAACCCACCAAAGTCTACTTTTCTCTCATCGTATCACCTATTGGAGCCAAACCTAAGTTTCCCAAATGATTTATTTCGAATTCTATCTTGCCACTCCATCCATCTCAAAATCCTCATCTCAACTACGCTCAACCTACAAGTATGTTGTTTCTAGACCGCCCGACATTCTACCCCATAAAGTAAAGCTGGTCTCACAATTGTGCTATATAGAACATTCCCTTCAACTTCATTGGTATGCATCGATCATGTATTTTTTCTTTTTTATATATAATGACTTTGGCACGTAGAGAGTCTACATGGATTTCCATTCACCATTGAATACCACCTTCACTCTCTTAGAAGGAATGTTAAAAGTTGACCATTGACATGAGATTCTAGGTGGACCAAACTCATACTTCAGCTTGGGAGGTGCTCCACCACTATGCAATCATTTGCTAGCTGCTTCCAATTAAGAAACCATTTGCAGTAAATATCTGCATCCCAACCCAACCTAACAAATGGAAAGTCCCAATGAAGACTCCAAGCAACCCATTAGAAAAAATTTGGTACTCTTTCATTCTTATTGGAAACATCTGAACTCCCTAGTGGGGAAAAAAAAATGCAACATACGCCCAGTAAAATAATATTAAGTGCATGAAGAAGTCACTTACCAAGATTTCTGCTAGCATCAAAATCCAACTTTTGGGGTTTGAAACTGCAAATATCCACTATTTTTGCAGTAAAATGTCCAAATCACACTTCTGTAACATCCTTTTCTTCACAAGAACATCATATAGTCAAGAGCTTCTATGACAACACATACTAGGAAAGATGAAAGTGGACCTATGAAATACAAGTTGAATTCATCAAAATTCACGCACTTAAATATATGAAATAGGATACCAAAAACAAAGCAAAATTTTTATCCCAGCGAAGGGCAAACTGCTACAGCATCAAACGACACCGATCTAAACTATCGATTTGCAGCAACATTGAAGCCAATGCTAGCATTGGCACCAACAATGCCGCAACTTTAGCGCCACTTAATCATTTCAAATCATGTCATCAATGCTAATGCTGTTGACAAATCATTACGACGTACATAACACGCTTCCACCCATTAATGAAAACATTGTTTCGATGGGCAGCTTACGATTGGGATCACTAATTGACAACGAGGCCACCACTAACATTGACATGGTCGCTACTGATGCCACATTCTTAACGTTGTACGATGCTAACGATTTGGGCTTGTCTTTTTTCAAGCGTTACTATTACAGATATAGGTATAGGCACTACTAGCACCAGCCTTAATCATTCCGTTTACAATAATTGGTCCTTCCCTATTTAATGAAATCACTATTGCACATGTGTTGGGGGATGTTTCTGCTCAGCGTTGCCACCCCTAACTCCAGCGTTGACACCACTAAAACCAGCCCTCGTCATTCAATTTTCAATAATTTGTCGTGCCCCACTTAATAAAACCATTGTTCCACACGTGTTGGGGTTGTCTGGTTCCTGACATGGGCAACACCAACACAGGCATGGGTACCATTGACGCCAGGTTTACATGAGGCTTCGGGCCTTGTTTTTTGACGAGTCTTCAAGCTAGTGGCTCAGGCCAATGATTTTGGGGCACCGCTACCAACGGCATTGCTGCCCCTGACTTGGGCGTTGACGCCTCCAAAGCTGATGCAATCATGATGTTCTTAGCTAGACTCAAGGCCCGTCTTCCGACCAACAATTCATTGCTACTATGGATGACGGCAGGCTTTTGGCTTTCTACCCTGACATCGGCATTGGTTGCTTTGGCGCCAAGGAGTAGCCCCTTTGTTGCAATGTTGATGGCCTTGACACCGACATTCGTGGTACCAATGCTGGGGACCAAAATGCACTTCCGCAAACAAATTTCCCCGGGCTATAAATTCCAAACCGCATATCGTATTTGGGCAATTCTAAAACCATTGGAAAGCTTATGACCTCTACTTTAATATAAAATCCAATTTGGGCCCAATAGACTATGAGGCTTGCATTTCATGTCAGCATTCAGGGTTTCGGGTGTCAAAATGGTATACGGATTGGTTTCTAAAGTATCATGTCATCCCAAGGCCTATGGTCCTGGGGTGGCATCAATGTTCCAGTGGTTACAGGGTCTTTGGCTTCCTGAAATTTCCTCAACCAAGGATGGGGTGTCTACACTAGGGAGACCAGACTGACCCCAATTTCTGTGGATACCTCATCCGATATCTTGTCCAATCCTTGAAGAACATATATTATTTTCTATAAAGACACAAATGCAATTGCAGTCAGTTGCGACTGATCTCTAGACTCTAGTTTAATCCTTGATAAATTATATGATAACTTATTTGTATAAGTAATTTCATTTAGACAAATATTTTTTAACTAATCGAAACAAATATTTATATAGAGGAATATTAAATGGAATGGCCAAAAAAATGCATGATTCATCCTAAAGCATATGGGAGAGGAATATTAAATGGAATGGCCAAAAAAATGCATGATTCATCCTAAAGCATATGGGAGAGGAATATTAAATGGAATGGCCAAAAAAATGCATGATTCATCGTAAAGCATATGGGAGTGTTTGATGCAACATAACAACCTCAACAGAATAATCATATTCAATAGCAACCAGCAAAATAGTTTTTTCTCCATCACTAGCAGCCGGCCAGCGAATCAATACCTCGTGTGCATACTTCTAAGTGTCTTCTTGATTATATTACATACTTCAAAGACATATCCCATTCTCAACAAACTACAGTTTAAAGCCCTACTATCAGATATTACAAAATTCATAACAACAACAAACTTTAAAGCAGGTATTGAATTCACAGTTACAAAAACCCATGATCCTATCACCATACGCAAGTCATGAAAAGATAAAACAGCGCTCTGTGTAGAATTTATGAGGTTATGAAACAAGGAAAAGAAATCATCATGCAGACATATGATAAGATGAACCTTGAAAGTATCTTGAGAATAATGTGACATTTGCACCATGGAAGACAGGGTAAAAGATCAGAAAAACTTGAAATAATTGATTCCAAATCAACAGAATTTATGCATGGTCCCAAACTGTAGTTAAAGCATGAGCCACCTTCTTCCAACACTTCTATGGCAAGGGAACCTAGGAAGAGCCAATGAAGGTGGGAGGAAGAGAGAATTAGAATTAATATTGGACCGCAAACACCCATAAAACTAATGCTTTTAGATAACACAGAACTCATACTCATATTTAATTTATATATATATATATATATATATATATATATATAGAGAGAGAGAGAGAGAGAGA